GTATTTTTTATTTTAATATTCATAAAATACAAAAATAATTAGTACATTTTGAACATAAGTATAAGTAATTTATATGAAAATACATCGGTTCAATTTAATTTTCGTCATCGATTGGAGTGATTAAGTCCTCGGAAATCGTGTTTTGTTTCAAATTTTTCAAATAACTGTGGTATATCGGGGGTATATAATTAAGCAAGTCCATCGCGTCTTTGTATTTTGCTGAAGAAACAGGACGAGATCCAGCGTATAACGGATCCATTNAAATAACTGTGGTATATCGGGGGTATATAATTAAGCAAGTCCATCGCGTCTTTGTATTTTGCTGAAGAAACAGGACGAGATCCGGCGTATAACGGATCCATTTCTATTTGTGAATAACGCCTAGGTCTTCCTCTTTTTGGTGACAAATCCAAAGTTAGAAATTCATCTTTTTCATCTAAAGTTAGTTTATAAAACATTTTATAGCCATCTGCTGGCGGGTCTGGAGGTAGCCGCCACATCGCTATAATATAATTTACAAAACTGCACTATTCTTTCGCACTTATAAAAATAAGTCCAGTGATCACAACTTTTTTAAAAATACTGAAAATAATTCAAAACAATACTTCGCACACACTTATCACACGTTTCTATTTCTTTTACACTAAACCCCGCAATTAATTTCCCGAATGCAGCAACTTACCCCACTTTCAAAATAAACACGTTTGTTGTACCGTTAATCAGCAAAACTTCTCTCGAACAAATCTCAATAGTTCTCAACTTATCGACTGCAAATTTTTAAAAAATGCAAAGATACCGTTCGATTGTAATTAGTGTTACCATTAACTCGATTTTTTTGAAAAAGTGACTTATGCCACTTTCAAAATAAACGGCTCATTTAACTTTGTCGACGAAACTTTCAGCGTGCATATAACATCGTTCTTTAATTTTTTTGTCACTCCAACCAGTTACATGTTATGTAAAAATGTGTTTACCCATTGTCCAATGAACTAGATCTTTTAACCCCTCAACAATGACCGTGTCGTTTGGTCCGATTTAAAACAAAAAATTATGCCGTTTTAAAAGCTATAGGTAGACTTTTTCTATCGAGTGTATACGAAACAGTGACGAGTCTCATTTGTCCAATGGATAAACACGTGCCTGATAGTCGTGGTAATTTTGCGCGTTACAGGAAATTGCGGTGACATAATTTATGGTGCTATTAGTGTATTTTGATCGGGAGGTTGGCGCGCCGGCGAGGAATGGACCCAGTTCCTTTTTCTTCTCCTTGTCCTTGATGTAAGGATCACTGGAGTAGCTCGGAAATTTTTCAAAACAGCCCGAGTGATTACCGCCCGGTTTCTTCGGGAAGGGGACATAAATTCGACCGGGTGGCAGCATTGTTGTTTTAGCTTCATCCGGGGGTATATAGTAGAGTCCCGGCTCTTGATCCTCGTAAGGATTCGGTGGGAAAAAATCGAGTGGCGCGCTGGCACTCAGGAATCGACCAACAGGTTTTCCTGGAGAAAAACGAAAATATTACGTCGCGCGCATGAAAACATTAACAGTAGATCTTTGTTAAAGTTTCTCTAAACGGCAGAACCAGGCACAAAACGAAATGGAATGTTCATAGTTAAGACTGCGGATGTTTATGCAAAATAAAAACTGTCTACGTTAATCGTAAGAATTACAGTATGTTCGATAAATGTATCTTTCCTCTTTCAGACATCTTAATAGGTTGTACGTAATAGAAAGTTATTCGGAAATTCTTTTAACGTTTTCAGAGTTTTATATATGACCTAGTTATTATTTTGTCAAAAATGCATCAAATCCGCAGTCTACTCGTACTACAAATCATACACAATGTTTCTCATTCTTTCTGCCTCTCTTTTATAGTTATTAAATTCATCATGAGAAGAGATTCAGCGAGGACGAATTATTGTGTAGCATCTTTTGCTAAATTAAAAAGCAGATAAAAAATATATACATAACATTGCATGTTTCTCTAAAAACTCATTGCTTATTGTTCGCATACGTGTTTAATAACGAAATACACAAATGAGCAAACGAACCTGCACGGCTCGTAACATGTTTGCAAAATTCACGATTTAGGTTCCTTAAAAATGCACGAATCAATATCCACGCACTCCCGACGTTTTTTCCGGTCGGTGTGTGTGGCCTGGTTAATATTTACTTGGAACAAAAGATGCTCGTAAACAAAGAGCTGAGTAACTTCTCTCCATTGTTCGCGGAGCCGCGTATTTATCAATCCAGAAAACGCGATTTCCCCCGCGTCTCCATCCAGCGTTGCAGAATAACCGTTGCTAATTAAGGCGTTTACCTCGTAACAGCCGGTCGAATAAAACCAAATAGTTCGCATAATTCCGTTAGTTTTTTCCCCAAGGGACCGAGCGCGCCCCGCTGAAATCCGTCCCGAGCGAAGTTTCGAAAGCGCGAGCACACCATGCACACGCGGTTAACATTCGCGCCGCGGGAAAAAAGCTGTCCGAGCGTGGACGAGCTTTCATTTTCCGAGCGTTCCTTACGACAAAAATGTAATTACTTGCGTCGGCCCCGGGAAACAAAATTCTACCGAAAAAGGAAGCGGGAACGGGGCGGGACGGTTAGGGAGACTCCAATCTTCTTCCGCTCTCCGAGCCTACTTTGTATTATACCTTTTTGCTTCGCAATATTGTCTGTCGTGTTTACCGTTCCCGGAATGGGGATAATGAACAAAAAACAAGAAATAAGGGACACGCTGGTGAAATGCAAAAATTAGAACCTAACTGGCTGCACGATGTACAGAGCTCGTAGTTTTCTTGTTTACGCGGACGCGGCGCGGCGCGACGCGACGATGTCGGCACCACTTTGTTTCGAAGGTGTGCAAGTTTTCATTACAAGCTTGCCTACCGTTCGTTCGCAATATTTTACTGTTGCATTTTATACGAATATGTACGTGCTGTTTGCTGATGATATTTTACATTTATCGATAAAGAGGAATTCCTTTTTATCGTTAGACAGTGAAGTTTCGTGTAGAATAAAAATTGATCGTGAGGAACATAAGTTTCTTCTCTTTTAATAGTTGTTGTTGGGCGGAAATAATGTAACAACATCTTTAATACTAGGTTTACAGAGCATCAAATACGACTGTTTCATTGTACTTGATGAAAATAACAAAACTATATTTATTTAAGTTTTTAGCGACTTATATCGTAATATATGACCAACGAAACTGAATTAATTCTTTATAAATGTATCTCAATAATTGTAAATTACAAAATTCGTAAACCTAGTGTTAAATTCTTCGAACCTCGTTACAGTCTCGTGTCTGTTAGTCAGTTTTATCATAAATGCATAAAATCCGCAGTCTAGAACAATTTTGTTGATTAAGTTCGAGAACTTTGTACGTCCTTATCGTGCGAGATAATTGAGGAAATTTTATGCAAAATCTCATATTTTGCTATTTTATGTGTTTACAACAAAAGCAGATAGGGTGAAATACAAAATAATGTAGACATTAGGATAATTATTGGGTTGGCAACTAAGTAATTGCCGATTTCAGTTATAGATGTCTCTCACTCCCATTTTTACGATATCCGTAAATGTTATATTATAAAATTATTATTATTATTATTATGTTATTTTTTATTATCCGTGAATGTTAGCAACTGGACAAATTGAATGCAGCGGTCAAGGAAAAGCGACCAGAATTGGTCGA